CACACACACACACACACACACACACACACACACACTGAAGGTCTGATTATCAGAGCTCATTCAATGTTCTCTTGTTCTTAAGACGATACACACACACACACACACACACCCACACACACACACTCACTGAAGCATCTGATAAAGGATCTAATTGAGAATATGGGTAAAAGCACCTGTGAAAAATCCATAACTCCGCAGCAGAGCGTGTCTGAGCACTCGTCTGAGATCATCTGCCTGTTTGATCCTGGATTCTTTAATAATATTAATCTCCTGATCGCTTGTCGTGTTATAGAGTGATCATCATCTAACAGTGATGCTTCTGTCAGCATTTACTCCTCAAACCCGACTCTGATGAGCACAAATGAAGATATGCTGAAGACATCACACACTCACAACATCTGCTGCTAGACGATTACTGAGATAAATAAGAAAACAGCCACTGTTACATGAGCTTTTAGAGAAAACCCTGAATTCTGTTGAGTAGAGTTATGATTACAGGCTAATGACTATCATCAGAACTCTGCTCAGTTCAGCTTGAGCTTTTCTTTACAACACTTCCACTATCATCACTGTTCCAAAGCAGCTTTACTGACGGTGTGTGTGAGTGTGTGTGTGTGTGTGTGTGTGTGTGGACAGTACAGAGGTTTTTTCAAAGAGAAGATGTTTGCTTATTAATATTTTTCCATGGCAGTAATTAATGAGTCCTGTATGATGATGATGATGATGCTGATGATGATGTGCTGATCATTATACACTCTGCGGTTGTGTTATCTGTCACTTTACATGCTCCAGCTCTGATTGGCTGTTCATATTTTTATTGTTTATAACAATAAAACAACAATTTGGGGCGTCACGGTGGTGCAGTGGGTTACATGATCACCTCACAGCAAGAAGGTCTCTGGTTCGAGTCCCGGCTGGGTCAGTTGGTGTATCTGTGTGGAGTTTGCATGTTCTCCCCGTGTTGGTGTGGGTTTCCTCCAGGTGCTCCGGTTTCCCCCACAGTCCAAACACATGCGCTATAGGGAAACTGATCAACTACACTAGCTGTAGTGTATGAGTGTGTGTGTGAATGTGAGTGTGTGTGAATGAGTGTGTATGGGTGTTTCCCAGTACTGGGTTGCGGCTGGAAGGGCATCCGCTGTGTGAAAGTTGGCGGTTTATTCCGCTGTGGCGACTCTTGATGAATAAAGTGACTAATCCGACGGAAAAATGAATGAATGAATGAATAATTCAGTTTGAAAGTGTGTGTGTGTGTGTGTGTTTGTTTGAGTCTTTGATAGTGTGTGTGTGTGTGTGTGTGTGTGTGTGTGTCTCATTTAAGAACTTCATCTTCTTGATACATAACATGTTTCTACAGTGAAATCTGCCATCCAACTAAAGAGTAGTGTGTGTGTGTGTGTGTGTGTGTGTGTGTGTGGACTCTAGATCATCTTCTGTGGTTATTTCTGCTCTGCTTTAATCATGAGAGATTCTGAAGGGGAGGTTTGTCATGGTGCTGATTTACAGCTTCAGAAACACACACATGAAACACTCGGCAGGCTTTAGAACGTCATGAGATCATCTCTGACGAGCAGCTCGTAACCAAAACCCCATCCTGAAGATGACACAACTCATGTGTGTGGTGAGGAGAGGAGTTTCCACTCACACAGAATTAAACTCCTGCGCCAAACTGGAACAACTCATGAGATATTACTGAGTAAAGCAGCGTTTCCATCCACCGAGACCCAGTAGAGTATGACCTCCTCAGCTCCTGCACTGATCTCACTGAGGGAAGGGGAGTCTGCTGCACTGGTGGGATTCTCCACCGGGCTGTTTGATCTCCTCTAATAAATGAGTCTGAAGACCAAGACCAAACGCAATGAACACGGTGAATACGGTGGCTTCTGGAGGCGTGAGACAGTTCTGGAGGAAATAATAAGAGAAGAAGAAGAATACTGCAGCACTGTGATGACGGACTGACGAAGGACTGAAGCCTTTTAGGATCAGCACAACAACATCTCACATCTGACACACCGGAGAGCTGCAGACCAACATTAATGATGCAAACACCCTCACACACACACTTATATCTGTCAGATCAACGTTTGT